ATTTCTGATAACTAATTTCCTTTGTCTTTCCATGATGACAGTACATAATATTTTCCAAGATATTTTGCAAGACACCAGTATCCAGTTGAAGGGCAATTTAAAAGCTTAACTAGGTTAATTAATGTAGTTTAATTAGGTTAAGTTTCAAACCAGGCTCTTTCTGAAAACTTACCACTATATACATTTCTGGAAAGCGCCAAATACCTCCTATAGAAATGTTTTTTTTGCAGTTTTTGTTTTCGCGAATCCACCAAAGTCCACTGTGTACACTTTTTCAGATCTCAAATTTCTCTCGCGAGTGTCATTTGCTCTTGCTGTTCTCACGTAAATCTACCAGAGGACACTATTGACTGACTGACTGACTGACTGACTGACTGACTGACCGACCGACCGACCGACCGACCGACCGACCGACCGATCAATCGACCGATCCTCCCAAACACCCCTTCTCTAAACCCAACCAATAATGTTTTCAAAAGCACTAATTGACCAGCGCCCACCCCCTTCCCTAAAGCCAACCGACAGTTTTAAAAAGCAATGCAGAAAAAGAAAAGCCCTCGTCTGATTTTTACCACGTTTTCAGATCTTACCACATTCTCACTCTGTTATTTACTTGTTTACTTTCTGGAACTGTTTTTTGCCGAACTCGAACCCTGTTGTCGCGGTCAACTCCTTTCGGCATGTCAGTCCGCTGATGTACAAGGCGAGCCACTGAGCAAACTGGTAACAGTGAAAAAGCCATCCACACGGAGCTAGTGGTCAACTGGTAGCGCTAAAAGAAGCAGAAGTTGTGGGCGACATCATACCGCCCCATAGCGTTTGTTTTGCAGCCGAAATTCAGTCATACATAACTCTGGCTATATATTTCGTGCTTTCTAGAAATGTATACAAGGTATGTTTTCACAATGAGCCTGTATTGATTTCTTATAACACATTTTTAAACATTTTAATGTCAATAACTATGATGACTATGAAAGTGCATTATATTTTACAAGTTTTGCAAGATACCAGTATCCAGCTTAAAGTTCAATTTAAAGGCTTAACTAGGTTAATTTATGTACACTGTAAAAAAAATCTGTAATTTGAGGGTTTATTTCTGGCAGCTGGGGTGCCGAAAAAAAAAAAAGGAAAATAACGGCCATTAAATTACAGAAATTTACTGTATAATAACGGACATTAAATTACAGAAATTGACTTAAACTTAAATTTCTAGAACATTTCTGTAATTTAACCTTTGTTATTTTACAGTAAATTTCTGTAATTTAACGGCCGTTATTTTACAGTTTATAAACCGTAAAATTCCAGATTTTTTTTTTACATCGTAGTTTAACTAGTTTAACTTCTGTAGAAGATTTCTTAAGGAGGACAATAATATTGACCTTTGCCGTTTTTATTTAATTTTTTTATTCCATCCAAACCAAAAGAAATGAGACCTTCTCCAGAAGAATATACATTGAGCTGTTATGAAATGAAATAATCTGTACCGGAAACTGAACTTCATTTACTATAGTATTATCTTTAAAAGAAAGTGCAACCCAAGCTCATTCTAAAAAACGTAGTCCCGAAGACGTTTCTGGAGACCGCAAAATACGTCCCGGGAGGCACATATTTGTGCAGTTTTTGTTTGCGAATCCTCTTACCAGCGATGTTCTCGCGTAAACCCACAAGAGGCCGCTGTCGAACGACCATTCGTCCGACTAGCTGAATGATTGACTGGGCGACCGGCCAATTGGCCGACCCACCCTCCTCTTCCTTTCCTAAACCCAAGCAGTTTTATCGATTGACCCGCCCCCCGCTTACTTCCCTAAACCCAACCAACAATTTACAAATAAAAAGCCGTCCAGAAAAAGCCCTTGTCTGATTTTTACCACGTTTTCGGATTTGACCACATTCTTAGCCTGTTATTTACTTGTTCACTTGTTTTGGATTCTGTTTTTGTCTTACCTGATATCTGGAACCGCTATCCCCCGGACTCGAACCCGGTCATCGTCTTCGTCGTGGTCAGCTCCTCTCTGCGTCTCAAGTCCGCCGACGTACATGACGAGCTAACCAGACAAACTGGTTGCGGCGGGAAAGCCCTCCACTTGGAGGTAAGCAGTCAGCCGGCTAGCGCAGAAGGGAACGGCATCACACTGCCCTATAGCGTTCGCTTAAAAAAAATAAAATGCAGAAATATGTACCTCCGGCTACATAATTCACGGTCCCCAGAAACATCCACAGAACTACTTTTCAGAATGAGCCTGGGTTGAGAAAATGTGTGCAGCTCTGAATAAGAACCAATGCCACACACACACACACACACACACACACTATAGAGCCTTCAGGACAAACCGGCGAAAAATATAGACTTAAACTCTTTCATTTTAGAAGAAACAGCTGAACCGTGACAGTTTGACTGACTCTAGGTGCAATGAAAGTGCAAACAGTCTTAACAATAAAAACACAATGGTGGAATTACGGTTTCTGACAGCATCCCGGCGCTTCATGGAGCTTTATTGAG